AGGGCGCAGAGGATTTAACCTCCTTGCTCCTCTGAGAAACCTGATGACCAAGTCGTGCTTCCCCAAAGACTTACCGTCTACTGCCTCGTGGTGTGCGGCAATGGTGGCAACACACACCTTAAGGGTGGAGGGAGACAGCCTTCGCTCCAACCCATCCTGCAGGAAAGAAAGCATGACTCTGATCAGGCATCTACGGGGGTCTTCCCGGCGGGAAGAGCACCAATCGACGAACAGTTTCCACTTCAGCCTGTAAGAGTGTCTGGTAGACGGGGCTCTAGCTGAAGTGATGGTGTTTACTACCGCTGGAGGTAGCCCACCTAGGACCTCTGCGTCCCGTCCAGGGACCACAAGTGGAGATTCCACAAGTCTGGACATGGGTGCCAGAGGGTGCCCCCTCTCTGAGAAAGGAGATCCCTCCTCAGAGGAATTTACCAAGGAGGGGCTGTCGCGAGGAGCATTAGTCCGGGGAACCAAGTCTGACTGGGCCAGTATGGCGCTATCAAGAGGACCTGCTCCTCGTCCTCCCTGACCTTGCACATACCCCTGAACTTGGGAGGGCGCCGGGCAAATTGAATCGCGTAGCCGAGTCTGATAGTTCTCATGAGCCAGCGAGACGGCCCGGGGAGCGCTAACCAGGCCCCCAGCGACCGAACAAGTGGGACCAGGGAAACCACCGACGTACCCACAGTGGGGCAGGGAAGTGGAGCACAGGGACCCAACCCGGGAGGCAGTGCGTCCCAGGGTGGGGTCTGAGAGCGCGGCGCGTCACTTACCTGGCTCCACGGCTGGGCAGGGGGCTCGTGAGGAGGCATAGCGTCCCTGAACCGGACCCTGCTGCCCATTGGCGAGAGGAGAGGGGGACAGCCGTGTGGAGACTGGGTCTAGCGCATCACCATCCTCACCCTCTTGGGACCCGGAGACAAAGGAAACTGCTCTTTTATTGACGTTTTGGTAGCCAGTGGTGGAACAGAAAAAAACGGGAACAAAGGATTCTCCACCCTGAACCGGACCCTGCTGCCCATTGGCGAGAGGAGAGGGGGACAGCCGTGTGGAGACTGGGTCTAGCGCATCACCATCCTCACCCTCTTGGGACCCGGAGACAAAGGAAACTGCTCTTTTATTGACGTTTTGGTAGCCAGTGGTGGAACAGAAAAAAACGGGAACAAAGGATTCTCCACCCCGGCCCTCCTCCGGGGGAAGGAGTGGTGCGGTCACCATCTCCTGAAGAGCAGGATCCAAGAACTCCAGGTCGCCTGTCTCAGGGACGCCACCTGCCCTGGTGCTTCACGGGCTTGGCAGGAGTGGAGGCGGGCTGCGCCGGTTTCCTGCGGCCAGCTCCACGCTGCAGCCGTTGTGAAGGCTGCTGCTGTGGCCGCGCTGGAGCGGAGGTGGAGGCAGGAGGGCGCCCTTGGTGATGAGCAGACAGAGGGGCTGCAGCCGGCGGTGGGGTGGCAGGATGTGTCGAAACGCCTCCGTCTGCTTCTGTGCGGCGGAAAACTGTTGGGCAAAGCCCTCCACCGCTTCGCCGAATAGGCCGGCCTGGGAGATCGGGGAGTCCAGGAAGCGATGCTTGTCGGCCTCCCTCATATCCGCCAAGGTCAGCCAGAGGTGGCGCTCCTGGACCACCAGTGTGGACATCGTCTGACCCAGGGCCCGCGCTGTGACTTTCGTCGCTCTAAGTGCGAGGTCTGTCGCAGTTCCTGCAACACACCTGGGTCAGCACCACCCTTGTGCAACTGCTTCAACGCCTTTGCCTGGTTGACCTGCTTGTCAGGAGGGCTATGGCGTGCAGGGTGGAAGTGGCCTGTCCAGCAGCACTGTAAGCCTTAGCCGTCAGAGCGGACGAAAACCTAGAGGCCCTAGACGGAAGGCGTGGATTACCCCTCCAGGTGGCGGCGCTTTGCGGGCAGAGCTGCATGGCAATAGCGCGCTCGACTGGGGGGGATGTCCACATACCCTTGGGCCGCCCCATCGTCAAGGGTGGTAAGGACGGAGGAGGCACCAAGCCTGTTTCGGGCAGAAAAAGGTGCCTTCCAAGACTTAGTGAACTCCTCATGCACTTCCGGGAAGAATGGAACCGGAGGCGGCTGCCGATGACCGGCTTGCGCCCCCAGGAACCAATCATCCAGCCTCGAGCGTTCGGGAGAAGGAGGAGGCCTCCAGTACAGCCCGACACTCTCGGCGGCCCGGGAAAGCATAGCAGTCAGCTCTGGATCTGACTCGGGCAAAACCACTCTTCCTGACGGAGGCAACGCAGCCGAATCCTCATCTCCAGAGCCTAGCTCACCCTCCAATGCAGTGATCGACATCCTGTCATCCGCCTGTGCTCCACACAAGATGCTGGACCCCGCCCTGTCCGAGGATCCAGCACACTCGTCCGGGTACACCAGGTGGTGCGATGTGCTAGAGGAATGAGAGGCCCGCGGAGACATACTCGACGGGGAAGCTCTCACCATGATCCTCAGATCTCCCTGACCATGAACCGAAGTAGCCCTCCGAGAAACGGAGGAGCTAGAACGGGGCTGCTTCAGCGTGCTGTAAGCCCAAGCACGAGACACAGCGATCATGACCATCAGATGAAGCCAGGAAGCGACCACATCCAGAAACACACGAGCTGGAAGCCATCTTTAAAAAGACGCCCGTCGCTCGTGAAGCTCTTTTAGAAATAGCTCTTTTAGAATTAATGGAAACACTCTTTTAGAAGAGGCCCGCGGAGACATACTCGACGGGGAAGCTCTCACCATGATCCTCAGATCTCCCTGACCATGAACCGAAGTAGACCTCCGAGAAACGGAGGGGCTAGAACGGGGCATGGCAAGGGGGATACCCCCCCGTTTAACGAGGAGGTATCTAGACCGCAACATCGCGATGGTCATGTTCCCGCACTGAGAACATGACTCATTCATGAGCGCTGCTTCAGCGTGCTGCAAGCCCAAGCACGAGACACAGCGATCATGACCATCAGATGAAGCCAGGAAGCGACCACATCCAGAAACACACGAGCTGGAAGCCATCTTTAAAAAGACGCCCGTCGCTCGTCTCTTTTAGAATTTGCTCTTTTTAGAAAGGAAAACACTCTTTTAGAGAGAGTGCTGAAGCGCCCAGGGGAGGTCGCGGCGAGACCGCAGAATGGAAGCTGCAGCACGCAGAGGTTTCTAACGACAGCTGTTTTCTGCAAACACGCGCGGATATTCGTCTTGAAAAGGCTCAATTCCGAAGCGAAAAGTTGATTTGCGTTTGCACGTGCTCTCCTTTTATACCCGCGCTGCGGGGCGGGGTGCGCGTGGCGAAACACGCACGCCAACTCTCATTGGCTTGTTTAGTTAACACTCGATCTCGGTCAAGATCCCAATTCATCAGTCACGACTGACGTAACGTCGAACGTGACTGACTAAAAGGGAAAGAATATTATACACTCGCAGAAAAAAAGGTACAAAGTCACTGAAGCTAAAAGGTACATCTTTGTACTTTATTTACCCCTAAACAGTATATATTAGTACCTTAAAGCTACATATTAGTGCTTCAAAAGTACATATTAGTACCTAATGTGTACACAAAAGTGCCTTTTGAAAAGGTATCACCCCAGTGAGAGTTTTGTATTTTTTTTTTCTGAATGTGTATGTTGATATTTGATCATTTTATTTAATTTAATTTAGTCCCAAGGAACACACATTACTGGTAAAAAATGTTTAGCCTGAATGCACTGTTAGTCGCTTTGGATAAAAGTGTCTGCTAAATGCATAAATAATTATTATTTATTATTCAAAGGAGTACATTTTGAATAAATTATAATTTAAAGAAATTGGTTCAGAGCCCAATATGGAAAGTTAAAATAAACCACTAAAATATTAATAACAATAAAATTAATAACCAAAATTATGAAATATGAAGATCTATGCAAATGATACACATACGGGTATATGAGGAAGCATTAAATAAAAACATAAAACATTAACATACAACACACACTAATGTTCAAAACAATGAGGTCAGTAAGATTTCTTTAAAAAATAATGCTTCTATTCAGCAAGGATGCATTAAACTGATCAAATATGACAGTAAAGACATAATGCTGTGCTTTCAAACTTTTATTCAAAGAAAAGATGTATCATGGTCACTACGATAAAACTCATTTATCTTGTACTGTTTTGGTGTTTTATACAGCTGTTTTCTTAAGGCTGTTTCCAGCCAATTCCAGTAAAGAGCTAACAAAATCAAATATGGATTATAATAACGTGAAATTATGATTGTGTGCAAATGATAATTATGGAAAAATAAGAAATAAATATCAGTTAAAAGTGATTTTGAATGGCCACTAATACCACGGACATAGGAGCAGATGTCCTTCATATTCAGATTAAAGTTCAACCGGTATGACTTTTTGGTTTTTGAATAATTACTTCAGCCCTCCCAAAAGCCATAATGCACTACTGTTTAAAAGTCTGCGGTCAGTAAGATTTTAAAGAAATTAATACTTACATTTAGCAAGAATGCACTAAAGTGATGAAAAGTGACAGTAAAGACGTTTATAATATTAAAAGATTTCTATACAAAAGAAATGCTATTCTTATGAACTTCCTGAAAAACAATGGATTCCACAAAAATATGCAGCAGCACAACTGTTTTCAACACTGATAATAATAAGCAATGCTTCTTGAGCAGTAAATAAGCATACTGGGATCATTTCTGAAGGATCATGTGACACTGAAGCCTGGAGTAATGACGTTTTACCATCACAGGAATAAGTTACATCTTAAAATATACTGGGAGGAAAAAAAACAAAACACTTATTTAATTACAATAATATTTCACAATATTACTGATTTCACTGTATTTTCGGATCAAATAAATGCAGCCTCTGTGAGCAGAAGAAGCTTCTTTCAAAAATATTAAACTGCAAACTTTTATACAGTAGGGTATGTGGTTACATCCTTGGATTATTATTGACATGTTTTCTTAAAGTTTAGATCGGATTACATTTCAATAATGGATTACAGTCAAAATGATCCGTTTAGTTTGAAACTTCCTATCTGCACTGACAGTGAACAATGTAGCACAATAAAACTAGAACATGGTAATCAAAGAAACACTAAAGCTCTATTTCATCATTCTAGTTTTGTCACGTCACTCACTTTCAGTGTAGACCGTAAAGCTGTCAGGCCACTGGGTCCGATTAATCATGGGGTGCTCAATATTCCCGTCTGCTCCCACTCGGGGCCCGCTGCACTGACTCAGGACCTGCTATTGTCTTGTCTGGCGCAAGGTCTGGACTGAAAACCCCACAGACCTGCCAGAAAGTGAGTCAGTCTTTTCCACCCAGACACACTGAACATGCTGGAATGCAGCGCTGTTCTCGCTCTCTCTCTCCCCATCTCGGACTGTTTGACATGGTTTCTTTCTTTATTCCATTTAAAAATGTTCACCTCACTTCTGCTATAAAAGTTAAAAACTTCCCCGACATGCACCAACGGTATTGAGGATAAGACATGATTTCAGTACTACACTCTTAAAAATAAAGGTGCTTCACGATGCCATAGAAGAACCTTTTTGTCTAAATGGTTCCATAAAGAACTTTTAACATCTGAAGAACCTTTCTGTTTGACAAAAGGTTCTTTGTGGCGAAAGAAGGTTCTTCAGATTATAAAAAGGTAAGAAAGAGATGGTTCTTTAAAGAACCTTTGACTGAATGGTTCTTTGGGGAACCAAAAATGGTTCTTCTATGGCATCGCTTGAAGAACCTTTTGAAGCACCTTTATTTTTAAGAGTGTAAGCAGTAAATACCCACATGTCCAAAATCTAAGAAAAAGAAAAAAAAAAAAAAAAGATGAGAAACCGAGATTACAAAATAGAAATTCACCCAACTTGTAACTACATAATGTTGAAAGGTTCTCAAAAGGCTACGTTTTTTGCCATCTAGTGGCCAAAATACGTTACTTAAATTTGTTTTTTTTTAGTCTGCTTTGACCAAAAACTTCACTGGAGGAAACCTGTCCTGGGGATCCCCAACCACTGCACTGCATTTTGTTCATCTCCTTCATCCAAACACACTCATCAGCAGAGTCTGTAAGACTTGACTTGGGTGTTCAATGAGGGGGACATACAAAATGTGTAGTGGAGGGGGTCCCAGAGACAGGTTTGAGAAACACCGCTTTAAAGCACCTTTGGATTTTTACAATGCAACAATAAACAACATGTTTTGGAGTTACTTTGACCAATAAAATTGCACGACTTTTCTATTTCAAATAAATAAATACGTGGAACTGAACTGACCGTTGTTACTGAGACTGACAGAGCCTGCACATCGTCTCAAAGACAGTCACTTGACGCCACTTACTGGCGTAATGGTGTAACTGCAGAAAAAGACCACAAACATGCATGACATTTCTAATCAAAAGAAACGCTTGAACCGAGTATAGAATATTATTTTGAGTACAGAAATCTCTACTCGCACTTCTGAAATTCCTTGAGATTTCTAAGCTTCTCGTAACTGTGAGAATCCTGCTGATGATTCCATTTAGAATATTTCTTTTGCTTTTATTTTATACTATACTACTACTACTAGTACTACTACTAGTAGTAGTAGCAATACTAAATACATTTTGGTAGAACTTCGTGTTCAGGATTTGTCGAGACATTTAAATTTGGGCAGAACTAGAGGACAAACGCCAAGTAGAGACTGAGGCTGTTAAATATTGAAATCCAGAAACCATTCCTTTTTTACATGCAGACCTAGACGACACTAAATCATCCAACATGTGCATCCATCTGACTCCCCTCCAGCCACCGGTCAATCCTGCCCTGTGTTCATCCTCCTCCACTGACTTGACATGACTGCATTAAAGCAAATACATTTAGTTTCACCCTACATTAATAAACAGCCACTTTTATAGCTAATCACCATTTATTTTACTACTTACATTAGTTTTCGGCACTTTAACCATGCTAATGCGTCTTTTTTATTAATTTGCGTTAATTTTATTGGACATTAAAAGCAACGATTTATCATATAAATCGGAATTATGAGATATGTCACAATTATTAGATGAAAATTCGATTTATTTGACAAAAAAGTAATTATGAATTTAAAAACCGACATTTCTAAAAAAGTCAATTATAAATTTGATATTTAATTCCCAAATTAATTACTTCTCATAATCCTAATTTTTACGTACTTATGACTTGTATCATGATTTGATTTACCAAAGCATGGTTTTTTTTCTCCTAGGTGGTGGACATGGCCATATTTAAGCCCTCAGAGGAACAATTTCGAATTGAAAAAAAGAAGAAGAAAAAAGCAATAGGGCCTATAATTCTATACTTTTATTTTTTTAAATAGTCACAGAAAAGTCACTTTCATCTACTATAGCATCATAAAATATAGGCCCATAAGTGGCCATCGATATAAAAAGTTGCTTTTTGGATCTAGTAGGAGCTAACTGACAGAAATTTCACACTTTAACTTGGGATGTGAATTAAGGATAAAGCATAGTCTGGGAATGAGAAATCATAGTAAGTTTTTAAAACAAGTTACCGGGGGTTAACGGGCCATAATTCAAAGCAGAGAACAGCCGTGTCTGAATCAGTGAAAGTGTGTTGGACTGTCTAGGAGCCCAGACACACAAATCCTTTGCTTTTGGTTCAGTATAGTACATTAGTTAATCTTGGTTTCCGCTTACAGGCCAAAGCTTGTGCCATTTCCACAGAATCAGAATCAAAAGCTTTTTCATGAATCTTTTAGTGCAGATTTCTTTATTCATTTCTCCACATATGGTCTGCTAAATCACTGATATCTCCATACTGTGGTCAGGTCTTCAAAATGCAAAACTGGATACAAACCTGCTTTAAATTTGCTAATCATGGTTCAATATAAGAATGTTTAGGTGCCTAGCACATTGTGCAATTGTGACTTTGGATGCATCTTGCTATAAGTGGCAGAGACTGTTTAGCATAATCAGCCATGGAAAGCATTTTCCAAAAGCTAATTTCAGTGCCATGATTGCCTCTTTTTACATCACAGCAAATCCCCATAAATCTGTGCACAACCATCTTTCATCTCAGCTCAGCGTGTAGATTGGGTTTATTGCAGTATGTGGATGGGCGACCGTTTCATTTCTGTTTTACATCGAGAGATGACAGAATATCAAAAGAAACTGATGCAATGTTTTTCAGACACAAATCCTTCAGTGAAATGTTGCAGGGTTCAGAATACAGGGGGGGGGGGGGGTAATAATAAAAATAAAATAAAAAATAAAATAAAAAATAAAATAAAAAATAAAATAAAAAATAAAATAAAAAATAAAATAAAAAATAAAATAAAAAATAAAATAAAAAATAAAATAAAAAATAAAATAAAAAATAAAATAAAAAATAAAATAAAAAATAAAATAAAAAATAAAATAAAAAATAAAATAAAAAATAAAATAAAAAATAAAATAAAAAATAAAATAAAAAATAAAATAAAAAATAAAATAAAAAATATAAATAAAAAAATAAAATAAAAAATATATATAATAAAAAAAAATTAACATATAACAAAAATAAAAATAAAAAACCCAAAATGAAATAAAATAAATTATCAATGCAAAATGTTAAACAAGTACCATCTCATATTGTACATAGCATTATATATATAACATTTTCAACATTAACTAATATAAATACTGTTTTACTAACATATCTACATTCAAATGATAATATAATTTATCTTCTTAATTTTACTCTGCAAGAGCTTGTATAAGTCCGTAAAAGCACAGACTAATTGGAGTCAAGTTGCTTGAATTTGATGCTGATGAAGGAGGATATAAAACATGGTATAAAAATATCCACTGAGTGTTCAGTAATGCTGCCACACTACCTCATTCAATAATAAATGATGATATTTTTCAAAATGGATTCATCAAATGACATATAAATGAAATCACACATGACAGTGGATGTGAAAGTGTGTCTCTGGAATGCAACTGCACCTGTTGAAGTGGCTCGTCTTCTCACACACACACACACACACACACACACCCCATCATCATGCTGTAATCAGGAACACTGTGAACTGATAATGTGTTATCCACAGGCAGTCTGTATAGACACTGACCTATATACAAGTTATATAAAAGTCTCATCCCAGGCCTCTAGGTGTATGATTGTGTTTCTATTCAAAGTTAGCGCATTATCGTACAGTGTATCTGGTTAGGCTGTCTCATTATAACAGTCAGAGAATGAGAGCTGAAGGTCATTGAGAAACTTTGCTTCATCCCATTATCGCTGCACTGAATGTGAGGAATTCAAGAAGGTGCAGTCTTTGTTATCTGTCTCTTGTCACTTAAAACAATTGAAAGCGCCTGGGTTATGAGTTCATGAAACTGAACCCGTGATATTTGTCTTTCCACTGAAGAGCCCTACAGTCAACATCTTTGATGCTATTTACTTACTTCATGTTCCTAGTGTTATCATGCATGGTTCATTAGTGCGTGCTGTTCTAAGGAAACAAACTGTTCATCAAAATGTAATAATGTCACCTAGCCCTGATATTTCAACATTTCACAATCCAATTAAATGCATGCTTATAGTAATACATCACCTAAAAATAAAAATGTGCTAAAATGTTTCTCGTCCTCAAGCCATCAAAGATGTAGATGAGTTTGTTTCTTTATCAGAAGAGATCTGGAGAAATGTAGCATTTCATCACTTGCTCATCAATGGATCCTCTGCAGTGAATGGGTGCCGTCAGAATGAGAGTCCAAACAGCTGACAAAAACATCACAATAATCCACAAGTAATCTACGACTCCAGTTCATCAATAAACATCTTGAAAAGTGAAAAGCTGTGTGTTTGTAATAAACAAATCCGTCATTAACACATTTTAACTTTAAACAGCCACTTCTGGCCAAGATACGAGTCAACAAATAACACTTATTCCAGTGAAATAGTCCATCCCCTGTAGTCCTCTCACATCAAAAATCCACAGACGTATTTGTTTAGAAATGTTTTGGACTGCTTTTTTGCTTTTAAACAGTGCTTGAACTGTGCATATTTCTCTCCTGATTCAGACAAAATTACTTTTCCAGTGCAAAATTATGGATAGAGGACTCGCATTTTAATCAGTAGCAACAGTTCAAAATTTTACGTTTAAAAAAAGAAAATTAACTGATGGACTGGAGTGGTGTGGATTATTGTGATATTTTTATCAGCTGTCTGGACTCTCATTCTGACGGCACCCATTCACTGCAGAGGATCCACTGGTGAGCAACTGATGTAATGCTCAGTTTCTCCAATTGTTCTGATGAAGAGACAAACTCATTTACTTCTTTGATGACCTGAGGGTGAGCAAATGTTCATTTTTGGTTGAACTATTCCTTTGAAGCTCATTAACTAAGTATCCTGTTTCACCCAGAAATATAGCTTGCGAATGCTGTTTTTTCTTTTCTTTAAATGACTTGCTTTCAATCTCAGACATCTCCATTTGTGTCTGGATGACATGTCTTGACAGTTTTCAATAACTGTTGCATTAAATATGATTCCTCCAGAATCAAAGCTGAATTCGCTGTTATTTTGTGGCTCGTCCTGATGACAGTGAAACAGAGCGTATGAGTTGTTTCCGCTGGCCTTTTGGGCATCGACGTAGAACGAAGTCGTAGTTGGCTGATGTAGACATGGCATAATATACGTTGGCCTTTTCTGGAATATGCAACTCTACAACAAAAATATGCATACGAATTATAAACATTGCATATGTGCATCATTTTTAATAAACAGCATAAGATTAACCTTACATTCGTAGATTTAATTTAAAAATATGGGTTTCAGAACTTCCTCTAATTTAGTAGTGACACATTTTATTTGTTTAAATGAGTTTTCAGTACCTCTGCCTTGGGCCAGAACTTGTACGAGGGTGAAGTTCTGCTCACTAACATCCTCCAGGTTGTGTTTTTGCAGCGCTCTCTGGATCACCTGGACCGTCTTATCCTGACTGGTCAACTGTGCAAGAAATCATGAAAAAAAAAAATCATAAAAGCCAGTTGAGAAAGAACAGAAACCATCCAGTTTTTTAATAAATATTTACAGAAACTTAAGAAATGAAATAAATATTCCACAATCTTTAGTAGTTGATATTCAGCAGAGGAGGATATGAATGTTTGCTCAAAGAACAGGTTTTGAATGATGATCCTCACTGAATCATTTGAAGAGGTAGATTTATATTTAACAAACAACAACCTTTTATACAGCTTGTTGATTATGCATTTGATGATGATGATGATGATGATGAAGTAGCAAATAAAGAAGGTGCTAAATTGCACCCGTAAATAGCATGAATGCATTTTCTTAGGCTGTGTAATGAATAGATGAATAAAATGAATAATTTAGAGAGTATCTAAAAGAAAATTTCCTGTTTGGTTTTGGCAGAGCATTTGTAATGGTGTGAAAAGCAATCTCTATGATAGTTTATTTCCATTACGATACCAAAAACAGCTGTTTTTTTCTTCCATAATATCAAATTACTGAGATCCAAGAGGTGTTTTTTTAAAAAAAATCTAAAAAGCATGAATGCATTTTCTTAGGCTGTGTAATGAATAGATGAATAAAATGAATAATTTAGAGAGTATCTAAAAGAAAATTTCCTGTTTGGTTTTGGCAGAGCATTTGTAATGGTGTGAAAAGCAATCTCTATGATAGTTTATTTCCATTACGATACCAAAAACAGCTGGTTTTTTCTTCCATAATATCAAATTACTGAGATCCAAGAGGTGTTTTTTTTTTTAAATCTAAACTAACATTTTAAAACATTCACAAAACCAGGTCACAGATTTTGAAACACATTATCAATCTTTTATACTTAGATCTATATAAAACTGGCCAGTTTGTGCATTAATTTTATTATTTTTATTATATATTTACATATAATAAACATAATAATAATCATACAATTATATATCAAGCTAGTCAGATATCAGAGATGCAGGAATTACTCATTATTATTTTTATAATATATCATCATTATTATTATTAATTAATTCAACTATTAATTTAATTGTGTATGTATATACAAACTATTAAAAATGATGTCAAACCATATTGATGCTAGAGATGCAAGAATACATCATCATTATTATTATTATTGTCATCATTATTATTTTTAAAATGTGTGTGTGTGTGTATATATATTCAATTAATAATTTCATTAATTAAATAATTGTTTACACACACACACATACATATATATACACATACACATAATTAAATAATTGTATAAATATATATAATATAGATGCTGTACAATATGTATTATTACATGTATTGTACAAAATCTATAGTTAGTTACGACTTATTAAATGAGAAAAGCTGTCCTAAAAAATGCTGTTCCTGTCCCATACTCACCAGTATGCTCTTGTACATGTTTCCATTGTTGCAGAACTCCACGCTGACCCTGATGATGCACGAGTCGTCCACCTGTCTGTTGTAGAAGGGCAGGGAGGTCATAGAGACCGAGCGCTTGTGAGAGGAGACCAGGTGCGGGTCAGCTGACGCTGAAGAGGAGGAGGAGGAAGATGGATTCAGGTTGAGGTCCTGCTGAGAGCTGGAGGATGAACTAGACATGGTGGAGGAATCAGGAGAGGAAGACAAGGGAAAAGCCTCAGTGTTCTGACCACAGCTGGAAAGAGACTAGAGATGAGAGGAGACAGTCACATTTTAGAGACAGCACCATCACAATCATTTTCAAGTGTGACGCAACAGTACTGGTACAAATAGATTTGGATGATTAGATATAGATCAAAACAATTCCAGGTGACTTAACTTTGTGAGAGATAATGTAGAGTTGAACTGTCATTATAATGACTGAATGATAAAATGACATCAATTTTGTTGATTTGAGCTTAAATTATTTTATTATGCGAGAAGAATGAAAGCATATGGAACTAGCTCCATAGAAAATAGAGGATGCTGCTGAACGCACCAAGGTTATGGGTTCAATCTTGTTCAAATGTAGCCTCAGTGCATATAGCATGAATGCATGAATGTAATGTTGTGAAAGAGCATTCAACATGTTATTAAAACTTTTCAAAACTGAACAGCAGCTTCAAACGATGGAAGCGATTAGGACAAAAATGTCCAAGAATTTGAAGCATTCAAGTGCTGACGTCTGTCTGTCCCTGAATACGGTGCAGAGGGCATGACTCCTGACACACAGCACGCTTTTTTAATGCTGTGCTTGAGTCATGGCAGCGACGTAAACACGAGCGATGGGATATTAAAAACAAGGACAGAAGCTTTAGTAATGATGTCAAAGTCCTTAGAAGTGAACAGTGATAATATCTCCATGACCTTAAAAGACATAAAATGGCTCTTATGCACACCAAGGCATTTGCTTGATCAAAAACACAGTAAAAACTGTAATATTGTGGAGCATTATCACAATTGTATTTGAATATATTTTAAAATCTAATTTATTGCTGTGAATTTTCAGCATCATTACTCCTTTCTTCAGTGTCACATGATCCTTCAGATGCTGATTTGCTGCTCAAGAAACATTCATTCATATCTAAATATGAAAAGAGGTGTATTAAAACTACATGTATAAAAAAGTGAAAGTCCCTACTGATGTCTAAATCCACTAAATGAAACTGTCTAAATGAATAAATGTAAATGTGTATGAGTTCACACACAAGTACCGGTGCTATAAAAGACGCTGATTGAGAAGCGGATATTTCCTCAATTTCAGAGCCGCTGGATCCTGCCGAGGACACACTGATCTGGTCTGCGTTCTTTTTGGACCCCTCGTTACCTGATAAGAGCCTGCAAACAGATTTCTCCTATATTATGCTAATAAAAGCTTGCAGCTGACAGGACAGTTGCAGCAAACTTAAGTTAAAATGGTGTTTAAGCTGAACTTATACTCACGATGAGAGCTTTTTGGCGAGAGTTCGGTGCCTCCAACCGCTGTTGGATGGAGAAGTGTCATGAGGAGTCTCCAGCCGTCTGGAAAATTCATAGCTGAGGACAGGGAGACATGAGCACAATTCAAATCTAGGAAAAGGAGTAATATCATGCCAGATTTTGGAGGGAATCTCTTTAAAAATTATTTGTGAAACTTCAGGCTGTAAAATACATCAACTTCAGATTTCTATTATTTTTTAATTCATTCATTTATTTTTTTATTTATATTTGAAATATTTTATATTTGTATTCTATTTGATATTTTATTTATTTTGCAATTTTTAAGACTGTTTTGTTCTGTTATGTAAGATTACACTTCATTCTGTTGTTTTCCATTTTGTGTCTGTTTATATTTATATTATTACAAATTATATTATATTTTTGTAGTCTCACCTTTCCTGATCCGACAGCAGTTTCTGACTCTGTAGCCAGGCAGCAATCTGTGGATGATGAGGTAAAACATACTGGGAACACAATGCCTGCAGCTGACGGATCTGCCTTAAAATCTCATATTCCTGCAAAACAGTGCGAGTAATTCCCGTGAAACGAAGAGGCAAAGCGGCAACATAGAGCAAAAGATTAAAGAGGAATACAAGGAACAAAGCCACGACTGTTAAGTAACACACCCTGCACAAATAATCAGTCATAAGATTAATATCAGTGTGCGCCTTCAGAAGAAGAGAGTGCTCTGTAAACATAAGGCTATCTCTACGGCGCCAACGTCAAACCGCCGCTTCACAGAGGACTTCATATTTGTTCAGAATGGGCTCTTTAAGATCACACCAAATCTATAGCAACAACAACATCTGGACAAAGATGGCTCACTTTGGGTACATTTAATTAGACAGTTAAGAAGATAAAGAAAGAGAAGTACTCACCCGTCTCCTCTTTTCAAAATGAATGAGGCCACCCTGTTAATAGTATTAACAGAAATAAATCAAAATGATACATAATGACAATTCTGCGACAAATGTGCAACCAAATGAAAAGTGGATATAAAAATAATTAATTTACATTTTCAAAAGAAAATATGACTGATGCAAACATCAAGGTGTTGCTAGGTGTCTGCTATTGTCTTTTTTCCCTTAGTTGCTATGCAGTTGCTAGGGTGTTCTGGCTGGTCACTTGAGTGTTGCTAGGGTGTTCTGGCTGGTCACTTGAGTGTTGCTAGGGTGTTCTGGCTGGTCACTAGAGTGTTGCTAGGGTTTTGGGCATGATATTTAGGCACATTCTAATGCAGCTACTATGATGTTCTGAATGGTTTTTAGCATATTTTCTTCAAGAGTAGTCTGAGTGTTGCTAGGGTGTTGCTAAGGCGTTGCTAGGGAGTTCTGGCTGATCGCTAGAGCGTTGCTAGGGTGGTGGTGTGCATGATTTTTGAGCATAGTGTAAAGCAGCTACTATGATGTTCTGAGTGGCTTTTAGCACATTTTCTTCTAGAGTGGTCTGAGTGTTGCTAGGGCGTTGCTAAGGCGTTGCTAGGGAGTTCTGGCTGATCGCTAGAGCGTTGCTAGGGTGGTGGTGTGCATGATTTTTGAGCATAGTGTAAAGCAGCTACTATGATGTTCTGAGTGGCTTTTAGCACATTTTCTTCTAGAGTGGTCTGAGTGTTGCTAGGGTGTTGCTAAGGTGTTGCTATGGCGTTCTAGCTGGTCATTAGAGCATTGCTAGGGTGGTGGTGTGCATGACTTTTGAGCATATTGTAATGCAGCTACTATGATATTCTGAGTGGCTTTTACACATGTTCTTCTAGTAGTCTGAGTGTTGCTAGGGTGTTGCTAAGGTGTTGCTAGGATGATCTGAATGGTCACTAGGATGTTTCTAAGTGGTTGCAAGACAGTTGCACACACCCTAGGTGTTCCATGTGTTTTTAACACACAATAATATGGCTGTTTGGGTGTTCTGAGTGTTTTTAGCGCATGCTCTGCTAGGGGTATTCAGTCTAGTAAAGGCATTCTGAGTGTTGCTGGGATGTTGCTAGGGTGTTCTGTATGTTTTAAGCACACAATAATGTAGCTATTAGGGTTCTGTGAGTGTTTTTCAGCACATTCTCTGCCAGAGGTATTTTGAGTGTTGCTAGCGCCTTACTAAGCTGTTGCTAAGGTGTTGCTAGGGTGTTGAAACCCTGTTCTGGACAGCCATTAAGACATTTTTAAGTGGCTGCAAGGTAGCTACTGTGGTGTCCTGTTGATTTCAGTGCCCAATTGTGTGGCTGCTATAGTATTTAGGGTGTATTTAGTGCATTCTGTGCTAGTGTATGGTTACTAGGGAGTTGCTAGGTGTTTACTAAGCAATGAAAATGTAATATGTTGCATGAGCATCACTAACAAAGGCAAGCACTCAGTCATTTCTAAACAAACATGATTCTGATTCCAGCCTCACCTCCACAGTGTCCGGTAGGGCAGTGTCCAGCATGGTCAGTACTGTAAGGTATGTCCCCAGATATGGAACCGTCCCTCCAGCTGAGCTCTGTAAGAAATCACTCTGCTGTTAATCACCTGAACAGCATCACTCAAAAACACTGATTATTAAACAGAAAAAGAGTGCCATCTGTCATCATCTTTACCATCTGTTTCGTTAGAGGGCATCTCTTGGATGTTTTTGTGGTAGTGTTATCCATGTCAGTTTGACTCCCATCCTAAAATATGTGAGAAATAGCATGTAGTCAAACTAAGAGGTGACACTCTAATAATGATAAAAATACATAGCATAAACAAATACTAGGTAAAACAGTCAAAACTGAGCCCTTTGTTTTTTGTTCATCGATCACAAGAACAATGCTTTCATGTGAACTCTGAGATCAGGTCATTGCTCTGATAATCTCAGCACACTCTGGTCAAACAGACAACAAACATCACCTGTGTCTCAGTCCATAATATCATAAGTGGATTAAGAGAGAAAATAACTCCAAATGTGAGATCAAATGTCTTCCACTTGAAATTGCAAAAGAACGCTAAATTAAATTCACATACCGCTCGAACTGATTTAAAAAACCTGGATAAAGACAGCAAAGTCTATTCAAGACATATTGATTTGTGGGATCTTTTCATCAGGTAGCACAATGTCCCAGTGCTGCTATTGTTAACTAAATCTATTCGTTTTTGTAAATGAAATAAAGCTGAAATAAATATTATATAAAAAACTTGAAAATGTTGCCTTGTGAACCAACTGAAGTAAAGAGGTTTAAACTGAAGTACTAACATTATTAAACTGAAATAAATTATAAAAATTAAAAAAACACTAATAAAATTGACAAATGCACATTACAAAATTACAAAAAATTAAATTAAAAACTGAAAATGTAAAAATGAAAGCTAATTCAAAAATGGTAAAATATTAATAAAAACTATGATAGTATATAAATTATACTGAAACTGATGTGTTCATAGCTTACATCCACAAAGATTTCTCGGCTGGTCAGAACACAGTTCTCATCTGGGAACGTTTCACACAGGTTCCCAAAGACAGACATGGCCTCTCTAGAGATACAGAATCAGAGGTTTACAACAAAATACGGCTTAACCTTAATGTTTTCAACCAATGGCTCAGGTTTTCTATTAAGCCATTGGAAAAAAAACTATATAGAGAACAAAACCAGCTATACGAGACCAGTGTTGGGGAGGTTACTTTGGAAATGTAATAGGTTACAGATTACAAGTTACCCTTTTTAAAATGTAATAAGTCGTGTAACTATTTTATTTCAATTACTTTATTAAAGTAACTGATCAGATTGGATGACTTTTCCATTACTTTTCTAAATTTCTAACAAATGTTTTTAACTGTTAATCTTTTTCAAACATTTAAAGCAGTCCGGGTTAACCTTACAGTAGCACTTACCGTAGACTTTCAAAATCCTTCATCACTTGAATTAAGATTGCAATGATTTCATTTTAAATCACAGCCACTACAAAATCAGACTTTAGCACCTCTTTTTACTGTGAGATCGTTCTGAGGTTACATACGGATTTAAAATCATAATAGCTTTTGAAATCAAATCATGACATACCCATGACAGGCATCTAACAATGCTTTGGAAAAAACAGTTAATCTTAAAAATTAAAGTAAATAACTTAAATAGGAAATCAAACAGAACTAAATGAGCATGTGTCCTAAACTCCTGAACCCTGTGTCATATTTTAGAGCAGTCAATGCAATTTGGGAAAGAACTCAATTAAATCTGTACGTGTGTGTGAAAATATTCAGATGTAACCCCCTTTTTAATTGTTAACATTTTCATAAGTAACCGTAATTACGCATTATTTCTCAGTAACTGTAAGAGACTACAGTTACATTTATTTTGTAATTACACTGAACAAAATTATAAACGCAACACTTTTGTTTTTGCCCCCATTTTTCATGAGCTGAGCTCAAAGATCTAAGACTTTTTCTATGTACACAAAAGGCAACAATCGGTTTGCATAACCAAAGAATTTCTGCACATTTTAGAGTGGCCTTTTATTGTGGCCAGCCTAAGGCACACCTGTGCAATAATCATGCTGTCTAATCAGCATCTTGATATGCCACACCTGTGAGGTGGATGGATTATCTCGGCAAAGGAGAAGTGCTCACTAACACAGATTTAGACAGATTTGTGAACAATATGTGAGAGAAATAGGCCTTTTGTGTACATAGAAAAAGTTTTAGATCTTTGAGTTCAGCTCATGAAAAATGGGGGCAAAAAACAAAAGTGTTGCGTTTATAATTTTGTTCAGTGTAAATTACATAATTCTGTGACATATAACTAGTTACTCCCCAACACTGACTATAGCGACTATAAAAGCCCATAAGATTTGTGTATCTGTACCTGCTGACAGCAGCCCATGTCTTCCTTAATCTATAGATGGGGTTGGACTGAAGCGCAGACAAAATGGCCTTAACAGAAGAGAAGTTCTTCAGCTCTCTGCACACCTGCGTGAAAAGAAAAGTCATTCTTTAACACAGTTTTTCACATGATCTGTGAAAGAGTCTTTAAAAAGACTAAACACGAGAGTGACTTTGAAACACTGAAGATCATTTAAACCTGCAGCTGTCTCTAAAAAAAGAGCGAACCTGTGCAATCCCAACCCATTTCTCAATGACTCTGGCTCTTTGCGTGACAGACGACGAGGATCGAAGCAGAGAAGTGATGACCCAGTTGGTGACCGCATTGAACTGGGCGATGGTGGCCCAAATAGTGGGTGAGAGGTTCTCCTTCTTGTCCCGTTGAGACCACACACAGCCCAGACACTGGAAAGGGACCACCTTCATAAACAGGTCCTACAACATCAGGAACACCAACATTACAAGTCTATATGAACATGAGGAGTCGCACAGAAGCAAAGAATAAAAACTTGCACTCACAGCGTCCATTCGCGTGAGCTGTTCAGCAACACCCGTAACAGAGAAACCCATGAAATCTGCCAGGATATCTGCCTCATAGACCCCTTTATTCAAGGCTGATTCTTCTATTTGATCAACTGGACCACCTGCCACAACATCAGAAGACACTGATTCAAGAGGCTAAATGTTGATCTACACACATTTTTATAGCAATAAAAAACTTAAAATGATGTGCAAATCAAATAAAAAAAGCAATAATTCTCAATATATAATCCAATCTATCTATATAACTGAGAGACTATATAGAATATTTGTGCATTTGTAAAAATAAAAATGTGTACATTCAAAAACACAAATAAATAAAATGAATTTAAACATCCATTTGTAACACTGCAGCACTAGTTAAGTAAGTGACCTGCAAAAAGAATACTACATAATATAAGGTAATATTAAATATGGTTAAAAAAATACATATATATATGCATACACTAAATAAATGTTTGGGGTCTGTAAGCTTTTTTTAATGTTTTTGAAAAGATGCCTCTTATGCTCACCAAGGCTGCATTTATTTGATCAAAAATACACTAAAAACAGGCAAATTGTGAAATGCTATTACAATCTTAAATAAATGTTTTAAAGTGTAATTAATTCCTGTATTTTCAGCATCATTACTCCAGTCTTCAGTGTCACACGATCCTTCAGAAATCATTCTATGCTGATTTGCTGCTCAAGAAACAGATGATTATTGATGTAGAAAACAGTTGTGCTGATTAATATGTTTGTGGAAACTGTGATACATTTGTTCTGGACTCTTTGATGAATAGGAGAATCAAAACGAACCGCATAAATGAAGAGTTAATTTGCAAAAACAGATAACAGATAAGTTTTTAACAATTTCCAAAAAATCATGTTTTTTCATTGTGCATTCCAATTAATCTCAATCAAACTGTAGTTGGGTTATTTTGATTAAGTAAAAATAACTAACTAGCTGACAATAAAAACATGATAACATAAAAGAACCATGATTTTTGAAAATTAAAAAAGGGAGTTATCTGGTTTTGCAAATAAACATTTTCAGCCTACAACAATAGCTGACTGATGAGCACATCAAATAAAAAAAGTGATAATCCACAATAGATTATCCAACAATGACCTTCAGCCTGGAAGTTCTTAAGGAGCGTTTCATAGTGCTTGGCCAGGGGGAAGAAAGCGGGGTGTCCTCTCAGCTGTAAGCACATGAGACGCAGGGACGAGTGCATGGGAGCATCCCTCAAATCATCACTGTACTCCTCCAACCACATCTGAAGCACAGTCCACAAAGAGCTGTGAGGAAACCAGGAAAGAAGAAAATATTGAAGCTGTATTTTCAAAACTGTTTTACACAAACTGTACAAATTCACAGCACTACAGAGCCACAGTGTTTTATATAATTATATATATACAGTTATAATATACTGTATAGCCTATAAGACGTGTGTGTATAATACACACATCAGCTTTGTAAATCAACAATGACAGTTTAGTATACTGCACATTAAAGGTTAAAGGTGACAAAAATCATATTATCAGAGTATGTTTTTACCTGTTAGGGTAATTGGTGCTGTCAAGCGCAGAGGCCAGGTTGTCCCTATTAGGAAAAAAATGAAAAAGTACAGTTCTTTACAAATACTATTTATGTATAAACATTACCAGGACTGTTTGTGTTTAATTATTTGAAGACGTCTTGTCATAGAACCGTCTCGACAAAACAGTGTAAAAAGAGACGGTAGCTATAAATCAAACTACCAAGACACACCTTTATATTTTACATGTTCAAGAATGATATAAAGACTGATGCAGAACTGCTTAAAACCTTTATTTATTAGTACCTACCTGCATTGTTTTCCAGTAAAAAAAATATCTAAAAGACACATTTACTAGAGAAGCTTAATAAATAAATGCAATAAATAAAATAAATGCAAAAAGTGTGATAAATAAAAAGAGTGCAATAAATAAAAATTGTGCAACAAATAAATAAATAAATAAAGTGTAATAAATAAAAATAGTGCAATAAATAAAAACTTGTGCAACAAACAAATAAATAAATAAATTGTGATAAATAAATAAAGCGTAATAAATAAAAATTGTGCAATAAATAAAAAATAGTGTAACAAATAAATAAAGTGTGATAAATAAAAATAGTACAATAGTACAACATATAAATAAATAAATAAATGTAATTAGGTGTATATGGTATTGGTCTAACATCCTTCAAACTTTAAAAGTGATGCTTTTAATTTGCAAGATTTAACCAACACCCAAGGTACGAGCTGTGTTTTCAGACAAGTCATATCTATTCTGTAATTTGTCTGGCTGATTTAATGAAGAGGCTTTTACAAACCAGGTGTTAAATCAAATATGTGAAACATATCATTAAGCACTGCATATACAACATATAAATAAATAAATAAATGTAATTAGGTGTATATGGTATTGGTCTAACATCCTTCAAACTTTAAAAGTGATGCTTTTAATTTGCAAGATTTAACCAACACCCAAGGTACGAGCTGTGTTTTCAGACAAGTCATATCACATATCATTAAGCACTGCATAATTAATATATGCAGGGCTTCTTCAACGTCATAAAGAAGGTTGATAAGTATATAAAGCCATGAACCCTCAGAGATGACCAATGGAAACAGAGTTCAAGGAAGTGGTCAGTGATGACGTATCTTGATGTAGGGGGAAAAAAACAACACACAAACTAGAGATAAGCAAATGCAGCTGGCCATCACAAACTCACATTTGCATGTGCACACGTCTAAACACACACCTCTGGAGGAGCATCTCGATGAGTTTGTTGGAGCTAGTGAAGGTGCGATACGTGGACAGCAGTATCCTGCCATAGTCTTGCTCCTGACAGCAGGGGTCCAGAAGGTGAGAGACCAGCTTGTCCAGCGTAGCCGCTTTTAACCTGCGTACTTTACATGTTCGGTACTGAACGAAGGCCTCTGTAGGATCGGCCGACTGCTGAACCGGCTCTCTGCGCAGGGTGATCCCAAACACCGCCCCATCTTCATGCTCCTCACCCCACTCCTGAACAGGCTCCTTTGCCACAGATATGAAAAACATTACTACTACTAATAATACTGTAGTGATAAAAAAACATTACTACTAATAATAGTACTGTAGTGATAAAAACATTACTACTAATAAACATTACTACTACTAATAATAATACTGTAGTGATAAAAAACATTACTACTAATAATAATACTGTAGTGATAAAAAACATTACTGCTAATAATAATACTGTAAATATTACTGTAGTGATAAAAACATTACTACTACTAATAATAATAATACTGTATTAATAATAGGCTACAGTAGTTCACCAAAAAATTAATGTTACGATTTTCTTTTTTTACTTATCTGCATTGTTCCAAATCTATACTTCTGTTTTGTTTTGGGTTTTTTTTGTTTTTGTTTTTTGTTTTGTTTTGTTGTTGTTGTTGTTGTTGTTTTTTGATGTTGTTCGTTGTTTGCTTTGTTTTGTTTAGTTTAGATTAGAAAAGGAGTTTCTTTAAAGAATTAAAGCATTTTCATTTTGGAGGGAATTATTTGTATAATTATTTTTTAAATATCTTTAGTATAATATATTAATACAAGATATTATATTTAGTATATTATATTAAATATCTGACATAAATATGTGATTAATTATGGTGAAAACATAATAGAAATAGTGACCACCAAGTTACAACACCTACAGTAAAATACACACTTGTTCCAGAGTTTAAAAACTACAGTAAAAAAACAGTAATATTTGAATATATTTTAAGATGTAATTTATTCCTGTGAGCAAAGCTGAATTTTCAGCATCATTACTCCAGTCTTCAGTGTCACATGATCCTCCAGAAATCATTCTAATATGCTGATTTGCTGCTCAATAAACAATTATTTTTATCAATGTAGAAAACAGCCGTGCTGCTAAACATTTTTGTGATACGTTTCTTTCTGCATTAAAAGATGAATAGAAAGCACAAAAGAACAGCATTTATTTAGAAATATTTTGCAACATTATAAATGTCCTTACCATCACTTTTAATCCATTTAATGCATTCTTGCTGGATAAAAATATTCATACGTAAATAAATAAATAAATAAATCTTACTGACCCTAAACTTTAATGTATTCTTACATTTTAAAATCTTCATATTACAAACATTTGAGTTTAGCAAGAGACCTTAATGCAAACTATAGCATAGCACCTAAATGGATGAGCTATATTCTAAATCAAATACTATCAACAAAAAACACTACCCATAATGCACTATTTGTATAACAACACTGGGCAGTTATACAATCCTGTCAGCTAAAAGCAGCATGGATTTGCAAACCACAGACATGAGGACAAAGAGTCATTCTGACGAGCAGCTGATGTGACTAACATTATGGCAAGTCCACACACACACACACACACACACACACACACACACACACACACAAACACAAACACACACACACACACACACACACACACACATCCACACACACACACACACACACACACACACACACACACACACAAACACAAACACACACACACACACACATACACTGCTGAGAGTGGGTTATGTGCTCACCATAAACTACTATTATGAGCTGCTGTGACACTCAAAACTATCAATTACAGCCCATTATTGCCAAGGATAAACAAGGCGAGAGCTGAAGATGTGAAAACACAGGCAAGCAAAACAAGAGACTACTGCTCAAATCCAAAGTGCTTGAAAAAGGAATAATAGCAGTCGCTAGGGTGTTTTGGGTGGCCAGCAAAGTTTAAAACTCTTGTTTTTAAGGCAGTGGCTATTTGAAACAGCATGTCTGCCTCATAACTACAGCTATTGTAACTCACAATCGGAATATAACATGGGTCTTTCCTGACGAATAAACAAAGTGAAACGTCTTTTGATTTATTCCAGTGAACAAACACTACAGCTAATGAGAAGCTGTCCGCAGCTCAAGAGGAACAGCACTTCAGTTCAAAGGACATGCACCTGGGACCTTGTATTTTCAGCCTGGGACACAACACATATCATTATACATAAAAAGCATATCATTAAAGCTGCATAATATGACAGGCACAATGATTCTGTCTCTCAAAACATCCTTAAATCATTTTATCTTTACGCTCCTACCCATTCTCAGTGCTCTTTCAGCTCTATATCTCCTCTAAACCGCACGTTAATGGTTACTGTAGACGCATTCATAACATTTTTCACTCGATCACACGAGGTCATGGGCGTCTGCCATCAGATAGCAGGACACGAGAGAAACTGGCTATTACTCAAGGACCAGCAAAAGAATAACGTCTGCTTTCTGATGCTCAACAAACCCTCCAGGCCATGTGTGTTGTCAGTAAAGCACAGAACTGGCACATGAGAATTTTTTCCCCTCAACAAAATAAGCTGTTCAACAAAAGCTGAACTGGAAGTGCTGCTGACTAAGTCATTTACTTTGGCTTAATGTCTGCTGCCCACATTCACCAGGCCAAATCTCACAAAATAGAGGCACATGACACACACCACTGGGCACAAACTGCTGGCTGCTGATGATTAGTTAGTTAGCACAATGAGACAAATGTGACAGAAACAAAATGGAAAACAGGTTTCACGTCAAAACCAAGTCAATTATATCGCAATGTGTCTTAAATACAGTATATTCTATAAGATACACTCAATATTATACTCTCTTTCTCTCTCTATATATAATAATTTTTTGATATGCATTTAAAATGCATTATGGTCTATTGAAGCAAGCAAGCAAACAAACAAACAAACTAACTAACAAACAAATAAATAAATAAATGTACAGAAAGATTGGGTAAAAAAATTAACTTCTGTTTTGGCAGACAAAAACTTTAATAAATCAACTGTGACAAATTATTGGTTTTGAACTTATTTTCACTTGATTCATCTAGATTCTAGATATTGAACTAAATATTAGCTTGAAACAAAATGGAAAACAGGTTTCCCATCAAATGTTAAATAAATAAACAAAAGTCATATCGCAATGTGTCTTAAAAATATACAGTATATTCTATAAGATACACTCAATATTATACTCTCTCTCTATATATACATATATCATTTTTTTTTATAATAATTTAAAATGCACTATGGTCTATTGAAATAAATAAATAAATAAAATGTAAATATGTAAAGTGCAAGCAAGAGACAATTGGGAAAACATAAATCTACTGTTTTGACCGACAGAAATTAAAATAAATAAATTGCATAAAATTACAACAATTTTTTAAAAACATTTGTATTTTATTATTTTATATTATTTATTTTTTTGCAGTTTTTGTGATTATGATTCTGCATTATTACGGTGGTATATGCAACTGCGATCGCACATTCTGGACTTGGCAAATGTCTATTGTCCAGCTACGTATGAAATTATTGTTCATTTTGCTTTTGTCATTGTGAAGCGTCCTTGAGCTTGGGAAAGGCGCTATATAAATTAAACATTATTATTATTAAACTTATAAGAAGTTTGATGTAATTTTATGCAACATAATATAAGTTTAATGTAATTTTATGTGGCACTATGTTTAATGTATTTTTTAATGTTTATGTAAAACCACATTAGCACACACACATTGCCTATAGCCTATACAAAAAATATATTGACAAAAATGATTCACTTTTGCTCTACATATTCACTTTATGCAAGATCATTTGACCAAACCCACTACTAGAAAAAAACATTTGTGGAATTGAGTTTTTGATAGCTTTTGTGACAACTTGCCCCGACGAGCTATGATTTATGACAATGTAGTTGAACACAGTAACGTCAAGCCCCTCTCTCTGCCCCACATTGAACGGCCTCGTCTGTCAGCACTGATGTATATCTGTCAGGTGCTGGGACAGCACATTTTCTGAACACGATCTCTTACTCTATTTAAAGAGCATTCAGGCCACAGCAACACACTGCATTCAACACATACAACTCAATACACAACACACTTACATTACGCGCAACTATAAAGTACTTATCATTCAAAAACAGACATTAGAAATAAATAATGCATCGTCTTACCATTGTCAACTCCCATTTTCCCATTTCTACGAGGATGCTTTTATCATATAATCCTTCCCATCCTCATAAATAACCATAAAAGCCTGGAAAAACTTAGTTGCCTTGTTGAGAATAAAAGCATTTCGCTAGAAAATAAACATTTTGAGAGTTGCATATAACATTAAAGTCATTACGCTATTTATAACATCTTACAGTTCCACATAAAACAAACTTTTTGAATAATAAGCGATTATCATGGATATAAAATCAAACGATTATTAGCGTGCAAATTCTCTCTAACTATCAGAAACGCCTATAAACACACACATCAGGGTAGAACATCCTTGCTTTGAGGCAGACAGATCGCACTAATGTGTCGTTTCACCTGCGCTCATAAGGGCATCGTAAAGTGGGAGGCGTTAAAGAAGGAAGCATCTCACCATTTAGGCTACACTGTAAGCGACGACACAAAGCTATAACGTTGATAGTATATTCAATAAGCAATATGCGAAAAATGTAATGACTTTAAATCGAGTTTCTGACTGAAAGCTGCAAGGCGCAATCTGTTGAGCTTCCTCTCAAGCGCAAGCCATGGCTCTGTCAAGCTAAACTTTCATCTTAAATATAATAAAAAAAAAACACTGAGGCTGTTTGTGATATGCACATCATGTTTTTTTTACATGTACAAATGTAAAAGGTAGCCTACCTCCTCAAGAGAACGCGAAGTTAATAATAGGCTATCATTTATTTATTTTTATTTAGTCATTTAGCAGACGCTTTCTCCAAAGCCACTTACAAATGAGGACAACAGAAGCAATCAATTGTAGTATTAAAACAACTAAAAACAGATCCAAAACTACAAGCTAAAACTTTATAAATACTATATATATATACACATTTTAAAAATAAAGAAACTAAATAAAAATGACAAATGCATACAACAAAATTTCAAAACTTAACCTTTATACTGTATATACTGTATATGTACATACACATTTATAAATTCAATATGTATATCATTTCCTTTCCATTTAGTTTGTTGAAGTATTAAAATAATTAGTAGTAACACTTAATAAAAGACCTATACAGACATAATAAATTCAGACAATTTAACTAAAATTAAAATAAATAACAAACCAAAATAATACAAATCAAATGACAGTAGTTTATCAGTAATCCTAAAAAAATAGCACTGCCAAACTTACATGCTAAAAAACAACAACTTACTTACACATAGTAAGAAATGGTTATAAAAACTGAAACAGAAGTGATTCAAGTAGTAGGAATATATATATATATAATTTTTATTTAAATTTTTTTTTAGGCATGTGAGGTTTTTCTAGAGTAACTTTTTTTGACCTGAACAAAACGTGCATTCATGAAAAGGTTACTTTAATAAATAAATAAATAAATATTATACCACTACTTGTGCCATTTTCCCCCAATATTAACATTGCCTATATATAGGGTAGGCTGCTTATATATCTAATATATCAAGATGTATATAGATAATGATAATGTCTCAACACAAAATCAATTTGAATTTTTAAAAAGTAATAAATAATGCAGTTACTGTCAGTGCCATAATTTTAGAGAATTATGGCATTGACATTAATATATATATATAATATTGAACTCTAATATTATGGCACTGACAGCAGCTACTGATATATTTTCATGAAATTTATTAAATGCATCAGTAGTTGCTATATATGCTATATTGGTTCAATGGATTTTATATAAAAATTTTATTTATATACGTGTATAAAATTTAAATAAAATGTATATTTCAAAATACACTTTGATTTTCTGTGTACCAATCATATTATGCAGGCTCTGACAGCAAATCTTATATTTTAAATATTACTTCTATATCCTCATAAACTTCAGGGCTTGAGATGAAGTGCCTTTGGGAAGGGCTTTTCTGGTTGGTGCACAACGGAGGCCAAGAGCTCAGTGTGGGTCCCGTGGGACTGGTGTGACGTGCTTACTGTCCTCACTGCCGATCATCTGATCTAGCCGCTACTTGCCAAATAATATTTTACACACTGGTAGAGACATGTGTGCTTCATTAGCTACTATGAGAGCAGGTGGAATTTTCCAATCTCAAATTATGTTTTAATATATATATATTTTTTTTTTTAATTATGCATGTGAGGTTTTTCTAGAGTAACTTCTTTTGACCTGAACGAAACGTGCATTCATGAAAAGGTTACTTTTATAAATAAATAAATAAATAAATATTATACCACTACTTGTGCCATTTTTTCCCCAATATTAACATTGCCTATATATAGGGTAGGCTGCTTATATATCTAATATATCAAGATGTATATAGATAATGATAATGTCTCAACACAAAATCAATTTGAATTTTTTTTAAATAATAAATAATGCAGTTGCTGTCAGTGCCATAATTTTAGAGAATTATGGCATTGACATTAATATATATATATATATATATAATATTGAACTCTAATATTATGGCACTGACAGCAGCTACTGATGTATTTTCATGAAATTTATTAAATGCATCAGTAGTTGCTATATATGCTATATTGGTTCAATGGATTTTATATAAAATTTGTATTTATATACGTGTATAAAATTTAAATAAAATGTATATTTCAAAATACACTTAGATTTTCTGTGTACCAATCATATTATGCAGGCTCTGACAGCAAATCTTATATTTTAAATATTACTTCTATATCCTCATAAACTTCAGGGCTTGAGATGAAGCGCCTGAGGGAAGGGCTTTTCTGGTTGGTGCACAACGGAGGCCAAGAGCTCAGTGTGGGTCCCGTGGGACTGGTGTGACGTGCTTACTGTCCTCACTGCCGATCATCTGATCTAGCCGCTACTTGCCAAATAATATTTTACACACTGGTAGAGACATGTGTGCTTCATTAGCTAAGCTACTATGAGGACAAAGACACGTAGAGAAACTGTAGTATTAAGTAATCATGAAATGATTTTACATTATTTAGCCCTATGAAAAAGGCTAAAGTAAAATATTTCTCCATGAGAAATACTCATATCAAGAGAAAACTCATCTTTAACACATAATTTCTTTAAAGTGAGTTAAAAGGCAACTGGCTTATAGCCACAGATCTGCTCTAGTTTGGAGCTCCTGCAAAAAAATAGATTGACTTCTGTATAGTTGGTCAACAACGCCACCTTGTGGGTGACTGAAAATGCGAAAGTTTTATCCAAGTAACTAGATTAAAAAAGCGTGATAAACGGTAAAAAACATAAAAATAAATGTTGCGCTACAAACCAGTGCGTTTAGGAATGCAATAATAAAGGAAAATAATATGATACGAAATACCAGTCTGCAGTTCTCCATGAGAAATACTCATATCAAGAGAAAACTCATCTTTAACACATAATTTCTTTAAAGTGAGTTAAAAGGCAACTGGCTTATAGCCACAGATCTGCTGTAGTTTGGAGCTCCTGCAAAAAAAATAGATCGACTTCTGTATAGTTGGTCAACAACGCCACCTTGTGGGTGACTGAAAATGTGAAAGTTTTATCCAAGTAACTAGATTAAAAAAGCGTGATAAACGGTAAAAAACATAAAAATAAATGTTGCGCTACAAACCAGTGCGTTTAGGAATGCAATAATAAATGAAAATAATATGATACGAAATACCAGTCTGCAGTAGGCATTACCTTGTTTTATTTTTTATTTAGTGGCAGAAACGGGCTTCCATACTTTACAATAAGGTCCCATTAGTTAATAAATTAACTAACGTAAACTAACAATGAGTTACATTTGTTAGAGAATTTCTTAATCTTTGTTAACATTAGTTAACAAAAATACAACTGTTCATTGTTAGCTCATGTTTAATTAATATTCACATATTACACTTGATTTTAATAATCAGTATTAGCTACTGTTTAAAGTAACATTATTAAGATTTTACTTTATTTTTTACTTTAGAAGCATTTTTCATTGTTGGCTAACGTGATCCAAGTAGTTAAGTAAGTTAACAATAGGAACCTTATCGTAAAGTGTAACCTTTTTATGATTTAATACCCTGTTTCACTTGGATAAACGTCACATTATTGAAGAAAATAGCTTGTGAATTCCTTTTTTAATGTTATTCTCAAGATCATTTACCCTGACAGTCTATTTAGTCCCTTAACACACAATTACTGAATGATTGACAACTCAATGAACCGCAGGTATGATTGAACCTTGTGACCATTCAGTAAATGAGATTATTTTCCCACATATAATTACAAATTTGCATTAGTTTTCCATTGTTTTGTCGGGAGCCGTCAGCTGCATCGTCTCGTCACGTGAAGTAGGGGTCCGAGCCGCATCCGCGTCCTTCATCAGGATGTCGCACAGCTCTGTGGTCATGCGATACGGCCGCGCTGCAGAGCCGTCATTGCGCTCAAGGTCTTCACCTTTGTGTGGTGTTAGTGATGTTTAGTAATGTAAAGACAAAGCAATTGTGTAGGTATGATAAATGTGAAATTGGGTTTGTGAGGAACAGATGTTAAAATATGAAGGTGTTGAATAGAAAACCCCAGGAGG